AAAACCAAAAAAAAAAAAAAACCTCCCAAAGAAAGGAAATCTAAGACTAAAAAAACAGAAAAAAAGTTGGAGACATGCCCATTTGGCAGGAAAACAAGGTGAAAAAGTTTTTGGCTAAATCTTCTTTTTCAAGTTTTAAAGTTTTCTTTGTCGGATAGTTTTTGCAAAAATGTTACTTTTTTTTTTTTTTCAAAACTTTGATTTTTTTTTGAAACACCTAAAAGATGTTTCTGGCCTATAAAACTTTCTCATCTTGTTTCGTCGAAACTTGAAAAAAAAAAACTTTGGCCAAAAAGACGTTGCTTGCTCTCTATGGAAGTTTCTCAATGACTATTGATTTATGCAGTGCCTTTCTTGAGTTTATGCTGCACATGTCATCCTGATGTTTTCATGATGAAGGATGGGTTGAAGGATATTTTCTGTTCTGTTTCTCGAGTGAATAGTTCCTTGCTTGTTTAATGGGCTAAGCTCTGAAATCGTAGAGCAAGCAACTTCTTTTATTGGTCACAAACTCTTTCTTCACCATGCAATAAGATAGTAATTATGGTTCCTTACTGTGTTAAACACTTTAAGTTACTTCCTTTGCTTACGCCAGCTTGAACAATCCACTATGGGCTGGAAGAAGCATTGAGTTTGCTCAGGATGAGCAAGCCTGCAACTCTAGTTATGCTGTCTAAAACACCCATTGCTCTCCCACACAGTGTGAATAAAAAAGGAAACTTGGTTATCAGCAGCATCCATGTCAATATTACTCTAGTGGTCACACAAAAATCTAATTCATATTTATTTGCTTTAGGAACTGGAATAGATGGAAGGAACGGAGACACCATAGGCAGGTCCAGCAACAAAATGCTTCTGCTAGCAATGAAGCTGATTCGCAGGTTAGTGCTGATGAGGAAACTGGAGATGTTCCCGATGGGCAGTTGTGTGTGATTTGCCTAATGAGAAGGAGGCGGTCAGCATTCGTTCCGTGTGGACATCTGGTTTGTTGCCAGCGATGTGCCTTGTCAGTTGAACGCGATTTAGCACCCAAGTGTCCTGTATGTAGGCAGTCAATTCATAGTTCTGTAATGATATATGATTCTTGAGGAGCAAATAGTATGCGTGATTTTGAGTAGCTCATGCTGGGAAGGTGGTTGTGCATTTTGTAAAGCATCATGCAAGTGAAAACCGCATAAGAAGTCTCATACCAATGGACCTGAAGTGGGAACATGTGAGGATGGTGGATGATAGGACTGATGGTAGATGTTTTTCGCTGTGCCAATGGGTAATCAGATACTAAAATCTAACACGCATGTTATTTGTGTGCCTGTACATACATATTTTGCAGACTTTTTGTTGTATCCTTAAAATTCAATATTCACTATAGTATAACTGGGAAGGAAATCTTGTCAATGTGGTAACAGCCAGTAATTGTAAATAAGCTTCCCCTACTGAAAGTAGTAGTACAGCATGACTTGCTAGGAGTCATTTTGCTTGAAAATTTGAGTACTAAACACTCAATTATTTCTTCAATTCACAGACTCGTTACACATCTTTATTCTTTTACGTGACCACCTGCGTAGAATCAAAATTTTAAGGAACTTAAACAATTTTTTGACTTGTTGCCTCTGCAAATGCACTGATCGGAACCTGTGGGAAAGCAGTTAATCAAGATTCGCCTGGACACTAGATTTGCTTGTAGACTTTATCAGGTTCATATGTAACAACTGTGTGCTTCTCTCAAACTTGATTCTATTTGATTGACTGCTCCAACTCTCATTTGTCCTGGGATCTATCTTCCATAAGGAACAAAATGAAACAGGTTCTCCTTTCCACCACAGACCCACACAGCCATCCTTTTTATCCACTCTCATCTCCCAGTTGCTATCATACTTCTTCAACACTGCCCGAGCTCCATCAATGGCATCCTCTCCAAACATCTCTCGTACGAAACCAACATTTCTCATTCTTTCACACCATGTCTCCTTTCGCTCGTTCATCTCTCCCATGTTTGTCAAAGCCTTTGCTGCCTCTCCTTCCATCATCCTCCTTTCCGCGCTCTCACGTCCTTTATAAGCTACACTAGTGGAGTCCAAGAACTTCCACATGTACTCCACTCTCCTTGAGAATCCCGTTGCAAAGTCCCTGCAGCTGTTGCAGCTGCAATCCATGTTATTCTCACTCAAAACCACTCCTTTCGGCTCCAAACTCTTCAATATTCTCAACAACTCTGTCCTCTCGTCTGGACTGTTGTGTTTCAAGTTATGGAGTCTGAACTGCGCACAAATAACCAAGGTTTCATCTGAGGATGAATTTATCACTTGGGAATCAAGATTCTGAAGTGGGTAATTCTCCAGTCTGTTGATTTGTAGGTTGATGTTAATTGCCTTGGCAAAGGCAAGGAGTTGTGAGGAAAAGTTGTAACCAGCTGGACCAACCACAAATGGACAATTCTTTAGTTGATCATTTTCTATGGTAGGTGTAATAACCGTTAAACGAACCAATGGTGGCGGTCCTCCTGATCGATGGGTCAACTCCTCGAGCAACGTTGGCCATTGAACACCATGAGAAACTCCAATATCAAGAATATGTAGGTTCTGGGGTTGATCATGTTCCTCAAGAATTTGGAGTATTGAGGAGTTTGCAATGCTATTGGGTATACGAAACCAGGGGCTAATGTCATTGAAGTTGATGAGTGAGTTTTTGAAGAACTTTGGATTGGTAGAAGCAAAAGTAGTAACACCAGCAGAAGCAGAAGGTGTTGAGGTTGAGCATGGAGTAGAAAGATAATGCGTTAGCGCCTGGAGTCCACGAGCAGCTAACCGATGATTGGCATCGCCGTTTAGTGAGGAAAGCTCATGCAGAACGTACAACAAATGCTGCACGCGATTCTGATTTCCAGCAGTGATTGCAACAGCACAAGGGTTAAGTAACTGCTCTGCCCATCTTCCTTCTTTGTTGTTACTATTATTTCCTGCTGACTTGTGTATTGCTTTCTTGTGTCCTGCTGATTTTTTAGTTGGCACCCTTTGGTCCGCAATGGCTTCCCCATCATCTGCATCCTTGATCCGATGGTTCTGATTATTCCGCGACGCTTTGGGATTGTAATCAGAATCATTTCCTTTCCTTTTCTTGGATGAAACCAATGGCGTAGGGTGACTTGAAATGATCGGCTCCAAAGGGATAGTACTCGTGGTTGTGATGTCGAATCTAGTGTTGAAGGGCGTCAGATTATTATTATCGTTGTTGTTGTTGTTGATATGTCGTTCTTGGTCTATACTTTCACTAGGAACCCACCACGAGTCCCCGTAAAAGTCATCTGGGCTATACAACTCATCGAGGAACGATGGAATATATGATAAGGTACCATTTAACCACTCTGAGATGGGATCAGAAGTGGGATTAGGCTCTGGTTCATCAATGGTCATTGTATCAGAGACTGAAGAAGAAGTATGGTGGGAGAGATTGACTTAATAGAAAGGATGCAAAGATTGAATATGATATGATATGTTTGTTAAAATGTTATAGTGGCCCGAGTTTCTAAGTGCTAAATGAGAATAATACAAAATGCAATCAAAAGGGACCATACTTTGGGAAGAGACAGAGCATGGTATATTTAAAGGTGGTGTTTTATTGAGATTTCTTTTAGCGGGTTCAACCACTGAGAGGGGCACCTCGATGCACTAAACTCTCATTATGCATGAAGTTTGGAGAATAGTCGGACTACATGGGTCTATAGTACGTAGTCTTACCCTGCATTTCTGCAAGATATTGTTTTCACGGTACGAACTCGTGGCCTCCCGGTCATATGATAACAACTTTACCAGTTCCGCCAAGACTCCTCTTCGACCCTGGAAATGGAATTTTTTTTTTGTTAGGGAGCGATTTCCTTTTTATTGAAGCTTACGCGGTGCGAGTCTGAATTAGTGGGACTCCATTACGAATACCGAATATAGGATTAAAAAAAGAGATTTCGTTCTCTGATTTGCTTCTATAATTAGCTTATTCTATGGGGTGTCACAGTTGCTGGAGTATTACGAGACACCTAGTTATTTTTCAAAACCTTAGGATTGTGATAGATTGGAGTTTCAAATCTCAAGGACGGCAATCTATTCATCAATAAAAAAAGTTAAAAAATCTCTTCATCAATAGGATTAAAATAATGTATGAGTTTTGTCTGATATGGCTGCCTTCCCCTCAAGTCATTTTATTGATGCATTTTGGCACTTATTGCGATATGGTCTATGCCTTTTTGTTTCTTGGATCAAAACAAACGTAAGTCATAGTAAATACTACTCCCTCCAATAAATAATAAGTGACTTTTTAGCTTTTTACACACCCTTTAAAAAAAATACAATTTTTAATAAAAAAAAATGTATTCACTAAACTACTTTTAGTTAATTGTTACCTTGCCACATTGGGATATGTAAATAAGGATAAATTTTGAAAAAATAAAATTAATTTCTTCTTGATTATGTAAAATGATACTTATTTTGGACCAAAATAAAAAGGCCAAAATGTCAGTTATTATGGACCGGAGAGAGTATTGATGTATCTTTATTAGTGATCCACCAAAATTCATTATGTATTTTGGACACTATTCCTCCCGAACCAGGGTCTTTCGAAAACATTCTCTACCTCCTCAGGGTTGGGGTAAAGTATGCGTACACACCATCCTGCTCAGACTCTATTTGTAGGACTTCACTAGATTTTTTATTGTTGTTGTTGTACTCCCTCCGTCTCATAATATGTGTCGTGGTTACTAAAAATATTTATCTCAAATTATTTGTCATTTTAAAAATTTAAGACAAAATATATTATATTTTTTCTTTTTTACCCTTAATAAGTAATTACTCCCTCAGTCTCATAATATGTGTCGTGATTCCCATGTGCACGCCCCTAAAAAGAGAATAATTTTTTACTACTTTACCCTTATTAAATATTTTCTCAATTTATGTGTCATCTCCATCAATGACATTATTCTTATTTTTACTAAATGTGAATGCAATTGATTTGCTTTATAGAATATATGAAGAGACACCTAGAATAATTAACAAATCAGTAATGCAAACTCTTCCAACAGATAAATGGCATTCATCTTTCCTTCAAACAAAATTTCAAACGTGTTTTGAAAATTTCCAACTAAATCTATTGTGGAGCCAAAAAATTCAACTTCATCAATCAATTGAGTTTTCACTTCATCTCCATTTTATTTTATATTCTTTCATTACGTGTACTCTAGTAGAACTTCAAAAGTTTGAATGATACTTTATAAAGAACTTTGTTATTTAAAATATTAATTGCATTAGTGTAAACATGATTAAAGTGTTTAAGATTACAAGGTAGACTTCTTGGTATATGAATAAAATTATCCATAAGTAATGTATTTGTAGTCTTCTATGATAATTAATTATTAAGGGTAAAAAAAAGGAAAATATAATATATTTTGTTTTGAACTTCTAAAATGACAAATAATTTGAGACAAATACTTTTAGTAGCCACGACACTTATTATGAGATGGAGGAAGTATCTTAGAAGACTACAAACACATTATCTATGGATAATTTTATTCGAATACCAAGAAGTCTACCTTGTAATCTTAAATACTTTAATCATGTTTACACTAATGCAATCAATATTTTAAATACCAAAGTTCTTTATAAAGTATATTCAAACTTTTGAAGTTCTGCTAGAGTACACTGTAATGAAAGAATGTGAAGAAAATGGAGATGAAGTGAAAACTCAATTGATTGATGAAGTTGAATTTTTTTGGCTCCACAATAGTTTTAGTTGGAAATTTTCAAAACACGTTTGAAATTTTGTTTGAAGGAAAGATGAATGCCATTTATCTGTTGAAAGAGTTTGCATTACTGATTTGTTAATTATCCTAGGTGTCTCTTCATATATTCTATAAAGCAAATCAATTGCATTCACATTTAGTAAAAATATGGATAATGTCATTGATGGAGATGACACATAAATTGAGAAAATATTTAATAAGGGTAAAATAGTCAAAAACTATTCTCTCTTAAGGGGCGTGCACAAGGGAATCACGACACATATTATCATGAGACGTAGGGAGTAGTATTTTGGACATTATTGATTACAAATGTTATACTGATTGTTTTAATATTTTCAGTGTATGATCCAAAAATGATACTGTGTAGTACTGTCACTCAATTATGTGCATTAAATTTTTTAAATAGACGTCGCTATAATCTCAAAGAAAAAAAGTGCTTCTTCAGTTTTGTTTTCTTCAAATACTGACCGACAGAAGCGACCTATGTTGAAATAACGTGGGTTCAAACTTCAAACTTCAAACTTCAAATAATGTTCAATTAATATACATTTTTCAAGAGTGGGTTCAAACTTCAAATAATGTTCAATTAATACACATTTTTCAAGCTAGATCATAGATGTATAAATGTAAAAACATCTTGGAAGTAAGTAGTATAAAAATTAAGATTTGAACACATTTTTTCAATAAAATAAAATCTTGAACCCGTTAAATTTATATCGAGCATTCGCATGTGATGAATGATGTACGATAAACAACTTATTTATGTAAAATCTCTACTACATGTGTAACGATCCGACCGGTCGTTTTGCTCCCCAGCACGTCGTTCAGCGGTTTGAGACCCTTAGCAGCTTCACTTCAGGTATTATGACTTGTACCCGTGGCCGGAATTGAATTTCGAGAAGTTTGGAGTTGATTTGGAAAGAAAATTCTAAATTTGGAAGCCTTAAGTTGGAAGAATTGACTAAAATGTGATTTTTGAGTAAACGACCTCGAAATCGGGATTTGAAGGTTCTAACAGGTTTGTATGATGATTTTGGATTTGGACGTATGTACGGATCGGATTTTGGATAACCCGGGAGAGTTTCGGCACCTATTATAGAAGTTGGCATTTTTAGAAGGATTTATTAAATTTGAGTTGAAGTGCATTTCAATGTTATCAATGTCCGTTTGGGATTCCGAGCATGGGAATAACTTTGTATGGTGATTCTGGTGTTGGGAGCACGTCCGGATGTGAATTTGGAGGTCCGTAGGTCATTTTGGGGTCATTTGGCGAAAGTTAGAAATTTAAAGGTTTTTGAGAAGTTTGACCGGGAGTGGACTTTTTGATATCGGGGTCGGATTCCGATTCCAGAAGTTGGAGTAGGTCCGTAATATCGAATGTGACTTGTGTGCAAAATTTGAGGTCAATCGGACATGATTTGATAGGTTCCAGAATCGAATGTAGAAGTTTGAAGTTCTAAAGTTCATTAAGTTTGAATTGGGGTGCGATTTATGATTTCGATATTGTTTGATGTGATTTGAGGCCTCAAGCAGGTTTGTGTTATGTTATGGGACTGGTTGGTATGATTGGACAGGGTCCCGGGAGCCTCGGGTGTATTTCGGGGGTGGTTTCAGATCATTTCGGGCTGTTTTGCAATAGCTGATGCTGGTGCCTGGTGTTGTTCTTCGCATTCGCGAGGATCCTCTCGCGTTTGCGAAGAAGGATTTGGCTTCTGGGATTTTGTTCTTCGCGTTCGCGAAGAAGAAAATCTATGTTCCGCAGGTCTGACTTCGGAGACACATATCTCACAATCTATAAAGAATTTGGAGATGATCCAAAAATGACAATTGTAGCGCTTTGTGTCTAGTTTTCAGAAAGGTAAACCATTTAGCATTTGGATTTGCGTAAAAATAGTTATGGCTAGTACACTACAGGCTATCCGGGAAGATGAAGAAATTTGTATTTCACAGGGCTGATTTTGACAGCTTATATCTCAAAATCAATAAGAAATTGGGAGATGATCGGCATATAAAAGTTATATCCCTTGATGTCTAGTTTCCAGAAAGTCAAACCATTTATGATTTGGAGTTTTATACAAAAAGTTATGCCCATTATACTAGAGGCTGTGTGAGAAGAGTTTGAAAATGGCTTCTGAGAATTTTGTTCATCGCGAACGCGATGGGGGTCTCGCAAACGCGATGAAGGGTCGCTTGGGCAGTGTATAAGTTTGAAAAAATGGGTTTGGCTCATTTCATCTCATTTCCTCCATGGGAGCCGACCTAGGAGCGATTTTGGAGCTCCATTTTCATCATTTATGTCAAGGTAAGTGATTCTTACCTATTGCAAGTTAAATACTTGGTTTATATACGAATTTAGGCGTGAAAATTCATTGAAATTAGTAGAAATTTGGGGTTTTGAAGAAAAACCTAGAAATTGATATTTTTGGATTTTAACCACAAAAATTACTATGGGATTGGATGGAAATATTATATTTGAGTTTTTGAGATTATGGGTAACGATTCCCTCCGAAAATTTTCGAAATCCGGGCACGTGGGCCTAGGGTGAATTTTAAAAATTTTACCATTTTGAATAGGGTAATTTATTTAATAGATAAATTTCGAATTATTTAACATATATTAATTATTTCATATAACTTTTGGATAGTTTCGGATTTTCGGCACCGAATTGAGATTTTTACACGACATCGTGATCGGAAGTGGGCATTGAGACAAGGTAAGTCTCTTGTCTAATCTTGTGAGGGGAAAATTACCACATAGATAATTAAATTAATAATTGTTGCTAATTGTGGG